GTACCGCCCCGCCACCCTCCTGCCTGTGTACAATGACATCGAAGAAAGTGATATCTTTATCCAACTCAGACTGCAAAATCTCGAGGGATGGATGCGCCCTGCTAAATTCCCGGATCAGGGCGTAAGTGTCGGTCAAGTCACGACTACTAAGGAGTGGTGGTAATCCACAAACTTAAACACCGACAGCGAGCTGCAGCGAGTGCCAGCTAGGTCGACTAGAGACGAGATTGTGCGCAGCGGAGGACGTAACATAAAAACCTCATCTAATGCGCGTTACGGCACCGGAAAGCGATACCCACAGAGTCAGAGCCAAGATAACGTAATATGGGGACGAAAAAGACCGTTGTTTGGGGGGAGGGGCATATCTGGTTGGTACTGGTTGCAAAACAGAGCTGACATAATAGAAGTAAGAAGAAACGATGGCTACGGGCACTTACAACTGCTGTTTTGTCTACTTTAGATGTCTCGTGTACACAGACATCCCCAATGATACGAGGTCCGTCTGAGGAGTCACCATCCTGCTTCACCTCGTCCCTTAAATTGGGTTCCGGACACGTGTCTTTGACGAGACGCTGTGGGTGAGTGCGACGATACATGGCAAGCACCTGACGGTTGGCGTAGATCACAGCGCTGGAAATAAACAAGAGGAAAAAAATAAGCTGGACTCTGCTTATGACAGCGGACGGCAGAGTAGAGAGTAGACTGGACACTCACGCGGCATGCTTTATTTGGCTCCAAAAGCGATTGGTGGAATAGGCGTACAGAGTACCACTGCCTGCGAGGGGTTGAAAAATTTCCGTCTCCAGTTGGATGCTCTCCTTGCATGCACTTCGCAGATCGAGACTTTGACAAGACAGAGGAAAAAGGGCTAGTTCTGTGAAAGCATCGACGATCAAAAAAGAGCATGTAATTCTTGATCTCGCATTGTTCCCGCCCTGAGTATTTGCGATTTACAGTCAGTGACCGATCGCATAAAATGTTAACCGAACTATAAAGATGCGTTTTCGATTAGGAAGGGTATCTTTCGTTCCAGCATCGAGTACTCACTTTAAGTCACTTTATTGAGGAAATAAAGCCTTCGTCCTTGAAGTCACATCCAACAATCGTAAAACAATTTAACAATAACAACCGTACATACGACAACTGCAGAGTTAACGGCAGCGATATGTGTGAGCCAGTTGCAAACTGCCGCAATGTTCAATATACGTGCAATAGTTTTTCAGCAAATAAGAATCGAGTTTGCATTAAAATGTCGCAACTGGTTCGGAGAGGACCACCTTCGCAGGGAGTCCGTTCCACGCTCCAACAACCCTTTGCGAGAAGGCGTTCCTCGAACGTCCATATGGGCCATTCTACAGTATAATCCTAAGATATTTTAATTACGACATTATTAGGAGGTTTGGCAGATTTGCCTAATTTGAGTTGACTCAATTGTGAAAAAACTCGAGGCGTTCGGCGGGATTTAATTAAGTCAGCCTAGTAGTCATTCTAGTGGATTCTAGATGACTGCTTACAAAATCCTGCTTGGGCAGTCC